TGCTTCTGCAAAGAAGTACTAGAACATACGTACATCTTGTTTTTTGAGGTTTACGTCATGTCTAAGATGATAGTTCACCGTAGTAACATTATAGATAAGTAAACAAAGGAAAAGCACCATGGGCTCTTTAAATGAAGTGGTCATTGCAATACACACCTCCCCTCCCCCTGCTCTTACACCTCTCGTTAGAGTTGTTCCCTTTTGGAAATTCACCTCATAGTAATCATCTCCGATTTACAGCCAGTGACACACAGCAGAAATAGCCAGTTACTAACGCACAGCTGCACTCAGCATACACACATAATAGCAGTAACTTCATTAGTTATTATTATTATTATTATTATTAAATATCTCCAACATTAACTCAGGATGGCCAGCATCTATAAAGAGAGAGGGAGGACAGAATCGTGAGCATAACAGATGATTTGAGCGAGCAGTGAGGGTCCTCCTTTGCACTTAAATCTGATTCTGCTCTTACAAATCTGTTCCTGTACTCATAAGGTCTGATTTGCAAACTGAAGAGCACTTGCACCTTTTTATGCACTTTCAAAACTGTTGGTTTGGAGAACCTTTCACACAAACCCCAGTGGAGAAATCTGAGAGCGCATGGCCTGGATTACACTCTGAAATCTGCATTTGCACTTACAAATGTGTGTCTCCATGCTCTCAAATGCTGAGCTGCAAACTGAGTAGTGCTTGAGATGTGGTTTGTGCTTCCTCAAAGGTTAGGGTGGGGATGTACTTCCATAGGACACCTTATGGCTTGGCTGGTTAGTAACCAGCAGTCACTCTGTACAGTATCCTATAAACCTGTTCAAAGTTTTCATTATTTGATTTTATATTTAAACATATTAAAACAAAACAACTACATCTTAGAAGCACAATATTTAAAGGGTTTTTGGACTACTAGCATTTTAATCACAGCACATGGCAGATAATACTGTAAAATAAATGCAGTTACAGTAGGCATTCACATCACTTCATCTCCACATCCAAACCGGTTTTGTCATTTTCAAGTACAGGATTTTCACTCACATGAATCATTGAGTCCTGATACAGCCATAGTGGTACCATCTCAAGGGCATGGTGAGGTTGTGTGTTAGCATGAGCAGACTTTGATGCTAAATGCTTTGCACTGCGTTGGTCTTTCAGACTGTTACTCTGATGGTACGAAAATTCCTTACTACAAAAACTACAGAGAGCGATCCTCTTACCACACAGTTCCATCAGGGCATTTTTTTTAATGTTCCATTCACAGAGCCATGCTTCACATCAACCTCCATCCAATGATGCCTGTGGACCACAGTGTATGGTTAATATCTTCACCTCATCATAATTTTAATTATTCAGTTTACCCACCGTATCAAGGGATAAGATTAATTCATCCATCCATCCATCCATTTTCCTCTGCTTATCTGGAACTGGGTCACGGGGGCAGCAGTCTAAGCAAAGATGCCCAGACTTCCCTCTCTCCAGACACTTCCTCCAGCTCCTCCGGG